CTTTTGAGAATTCTCAAAAGTAACGTCAAAAGAGCGGCAGAAAGGAGAAGGTCATGATCTCATTCAGGCTCAGTGGCTGACCCATGCCCCCAGACGGCAGAAAATACTACATGGATCGAGGGTAAGTTGATGTTACTTTTGAGAATTCTCAAAAGTAACGTCAAAAGAGCGGCAGAAAGGAGAAGGTCATGATCTCATTCAGGCTCAGTGGCTGACCCATGCCCCCAGACGGCAGAAAATACTACATGGATCGAGGGTAAGTTGATGCTACTTTTGAGAATTCTCAAAAGTAACGTCAAAAGAGCGGCAGAAAGGAGAAGGTCATGATCTCATTCAGGCTCAGTGGCTGACCCATGCCCCCAGACGGCAGAAAATACTACATGGATCGAGGGTAAGTTGATGCTACTTTTGAGAATTCTCAAAAGTAACGTCAAAAGAGCGGCAGAAAGGAGAAGGTCATGATCTCATTCAGGCTCAGTGGCTGACCCATGCCCCCAGACGGCAGAAAATACTACATGGATCGAGGGTAGGTTGATGCTACTTTTGAGAATTCTCAAAAGTAACGTCAAAAGAGCGGCAGAAAGGAGAAGGTCATGATCTCATTCAGGCTCAGTGGCTGACCCATGCCCCCAGACGGCAGAAAATACTACATGGATCGAGGGTAAGTTGATGTTACTTTTGAGAATTCTCAAAAGTAACGTCAAAAGAGCGGCAGAAAGGAGAAGGTCATGATCTCATTCAGGCTCAGTGGCTGACCCATGCCCCCAGACGGCAGAAAATACTACATGGATCGAGGGTAAGTTGATGTTACTTTTGAGAATTGTCAAAAGTAACGTCAAAAGAGCGGCAGAAAGGAGAAGGTCATGATCTCATTCAGGCTCAGTGGCTGACCCATGCCCCCAGACGGCAGAAAATACTACATGGATCGAGGGTAAGTTGATGTTACTTTTGAGAATTCTCAAAAGTAACGTCAAAAGAGCGGCAGAAAGGACAAGGTCATGATCTCATTCAGGCTCAGTGGCTGACCCATGCCCCCAGACGGCAGAAAATACTACATGGATCGAGGGTAAGTTGATGCTACTTTTGAGAATTCTCAAAAGTAACGTCAAAAGAGCGGCAGAAAGGAGAAGGTCATGATCTCATTCAGGCTCAGTGGCTGACCCATGCCCCCAGACGGCAGAAAATACTACATGGATCGAGGGTAAGTTGATGTTACTTTTGAGAATTCTCAAAAGTAACGTCAAAAGAGCGGCAGAAAGGAGAAGGTCATGATCTCATTCAGGCTCAGTGGCTGACCCATGCCCCCAGACGGCAGAAAATACTACATGGATCGAGGGTAAGTTGATGTTACTTTTGAGAATTCTCAAAAGTAACGTCAAAAGAGCGGCAGAAAGGAGAAGGTCATGATCTCATTCAGGCTCAGTGGCTGACCCATGCCCCCAGACGGCAGAAAATACTACATGGATCGAGGGTAAGTTGATGTTACTTTTGAGAATTCTCAAAAGTAACGTCAAAAGAGCGGCAGAAAGGAGAAGGTCATGATCTCATTCAGGCTCAGTGGCTGACCCATGCCCCCAGACGGCAGAAAATACTACATGGATCGAGGGTAAGTTGATGTTACTTTTGAGAATTCTCAAAAGTAACGTCAAAAGAGCGGCAGAAAGGAGAAGGTCATGATCTCATTCAGGCTCAGTGGCTGACCCATGCCCCCAGACGGCAGAAAATACTACATGGATCGAGGGTAAGTTGATGTTACTTTTGAGAATTCTCAAAAGTAACGTCAAAAGAGCGGCAGAAAGGAGAAGGTCATGATCTCATTCAGGCTCAGTGGCTGACCCATGCCCCCAGACGGCAGAAAATACTACATGGATCGAGGGTAAGTTGATGCTACTTTTGAGAATTCTCAAAAGTAACGTCAAAAGAGCGGCAGAAAGGAGAAGGTCATGATCTCATTCAGGCTCAGTGGCTGACCCATGCCCCCAGACGGCAGAAAATACTACATGGATCGAGGGTAAGTTGATGCTACTTTTGAGAATTCTCAAAAGTAACGTCAAAAGAGCGGCAGAAAGGAGAAGGTCATGATCTCATTCAGGCTCAGTGGCTGACCCATGCCCCCAGACGGCAGAAAATACTACATGGATCGAGGGTAAGTTGATGCTACTTTTGAGAATTCTCAAAAGTAACGTCAAAAGAGCGGCAGAAAGGAGAAGGTCATGATCTCATTCAGGCTCAGTGGCTGACCCATGCCCCCAGACGGCAGAAAATACTACATGGATCGAGGGTAAGTTGATGCTACTTTTGAGAATTCTCAAAAGTAACGTCAAAAGAGCGGCAGAAAGGAGAAGGTCATGATCTCATTCAGGCTCAGTGGCTGACCCATGCCCCCAGACGGCAGAAAATACTACATGGATCGAGGGTAAGTTGATGCTACTTTTGAGAATTCTCAAAAGTAACGTCAAAAGAGCGGCAGAAAGGAGAAGGTCATGATCTCATTCAGGCTCAGTGGCTGACCCATGCCCCCAGACGGCAGAAAATACTACATGGATCGAGGGTAAGTTGATGTTACTTTTGAGAATTCTCAAAAGTAACGTCAAAAGAGCGGCAGAAAGGAGAAGGTCATGATCTCATTCAGGCTCAGTGGCTGACCCATGCCCCCAGACGGCAGAAAATACTACATGGATCGAGGGTAAGTTGATGCTACTTTTGAGAATTCTCAAAAGTAACGTCAAAAGAGCGGCAGAAAGGAGAAGGTCATGATCTCATTCAGGCTCAGTGGCTGACCCATGCCCCCAGACGGCAGAAAATACTACATGGATCGAGGGTAAGTTGATGCTACTTTTGAGAATTCTCAAAAGTAACGTCAAAAGAGCGGCAGAAAGGAGAAGGTCATGATCTCATTCAGGCTCAGTGGCTGACCCATGCCCCCAGACGGCAGAAAATACTACATGGATCGAGGGTAGGTTGATGCTACTTTTGAGAATTCTCAAAAGTAACGTCAAAAGAGCGGCAGAAAGGAGAAGGTCATGATCTCATTCAGGCTCAGTGGCTGACCCATGCCCCCAGACGGCAGAAAATACTACATGGATCGAGGGTAAGTTGATGTTACTTTTGAGAATTCTCAAAAGTAACGTCAAAAGAGCGGCAGAAAGGAGAAGGTCATGATCTCATTCAGGCTCAGTGGCTGACCCATGCCCCCAGACGGCAGAAAATACTACATGGATCGAGGGTAAGTTGATGCTACTTTTGAGAATTCTCAAAAGTAACGTCAAAAGAGCGGCAGAAAGGAGAAGGTCATGATCTCATTCAGGCTCAGTGGCTGACCCATGCCCCCAGACGGCAGAAAATACTACATGGATCGAGGGTAAGTTGATGTTACTTTTGAGAATTCTCAAAAGTAACGTCAAAAGAGCGGCAGAAAGGAGAAGGTCATGATCTCATTCAGGCTCAGTGGCTGACCCATGCCCCCAGACGGCAGAAAATACTACATGGATCGAGGGTAAGTTGATGTTACTTTTGAGAATTCTCAAAAGTAACGTCAAAAGAGCGGCAGAAAGGAGAAGGTCATGATCTCATTCAGGCTCAGTGGCTGACCCATGCCCCCAGACGGCAGAAAATACTACATGGATCGAGGGTAGTAGCTGGGGAGGGAAACATGAAAGATTGGACTGTGACTGCTAAAAAAAAAAGTGGCGATCAGGCACATAGACAAGGCGATTGACCAGGAAGGTATCAGGAAAACACAAAAAAAGGTATCACAAATAGAATTCCGGCAAACTTGTCTCGTTGTGATTTTTGAGACGTCTCAAAAATCGTCTTGTTGTGATAGACAGGGCTTCGACGAATGAACAGCATGATTGGCCAAACGCAACTTCTGAGAATTCAAAAAAAGATGACCTCAACGGATCCGTCTCTAAACCACGTATCGTTTTCAGCCACAATACTAAACTAAGTCCCAAATCCATGTTGCCCACACAACAAGAAAGGGAATAACTCACTAGGTCCGCTTGCCTCGTAAGTAACGACTAGCTTGTTAGGGTCATCTGTAGTACGGACCACCTCAGGACCCAGCGCTGACCGTCCCATGGCCATCTTTGCAATACTTGTATATACGCCGTGGCAATCGGGAATCCAAACAAATCCTTACCGCGGGAAGAATAGAGGTCGCTGTGAAATTCTAGGGAACTCTGCCAAGAACGCAAGGCTATTAAGTACGCCGCTCAAACCAGAGGGGGGGTAATAACGAGAGAGGGTAACCAGGAGGGGGGGTAATAGGGGGAGAGAGGGTAACCAGGAGTGAGGGTAACCTGATTGACAGCAGATTCGCCTTACCATGATCAGAGATTGACGTGGACGATCAGGATTGGATGCTGAAGATTTTCTCTAGACGCGTTGCGACGAAAAAACTATCACGGTTGCCAAAATTTATGGTCAAGGACCTAAATCGATCAACTGAGGAAGCTGTTGCAACTACCGTAGTTCTCCTAGCCTACTTCTAAGTCTCGTCGCGAGCTTCGCGCGCCCAACAGGACGATCGAGCCCTCTACAATTCTCAAACAACTGGCTCGCTCTGATACACTCAAGGTAGCTTCAGCTGCTAGAGTCAACCAAGTGCTTGCTCCGACGACGAAAAAGTAACTGAAACGTGAATGAGTAACTAACCAAGTGAGGGAACTGAAGTGGCGGGTTTGGATGAATTTGACAGCACTCGCTAGGATGCTGTTGGTCTCTTCTCGTTGCCGTTGTCCTGGCCTGGGAATTCTCCTCCGCAAACCCAAAACGACCGCAGGCGCTTCCAGTGTGTGATCCGATACAATACATTAGCATGAGAGGCTGTTCTTAATATGTGCATAACTGAAGCGACTTAGCCAACACTTAGTTTCAATCTCCAACCATAACAGGATTTTCTTCTTACGAATCTGGTTCACATTTTACATACATTTTATTGAATTACAGCTTGCACAAAGAAATGAAACAAAACAGCATAGTTCCACATTCACATATCAAAACGTCAACAAGCGATCACTAGAGTAACCCATCCCCTCCAGCAAAGGCGTCATCGCCCTGATCATGGGCGGAGGGCCACACATCAGCGCCAGGCTGTCCTCCCCGCCACGTGGCAGCCTCTCATTGGCCATTGCAGCAGTGACAAACCCAATCCCATACTTCCACCCTTCAGGCACAGGCTCGCAAATAGTGTACCAAACATGGAACCTTCCCGGGTACTGTTCAACCCACCGGTCCATTTCGTCTTGTAGCAGCACGTCAGCCACCGACCTGTTTCCGAACAGCACCCACATCTCCGTCTTATCCTCCGGATCAGCCAGAATCGCTTTTGCCACCTGATAAATGGGGGTAATTCCGGTGCCTCCCGCCAGCATGGCCAATTTCTTCCCCTGCTTCTCCTCCCCACTTACCAGGAACTTTCCTCGCCCGAGATACTCTATATGACCCAAAGGTCCCTTAATCTCGATAGTGTCACCGACCGATAGTGACTCTAGGTGCTGTGACATAACCCCGCCGTCGGGAAACTGCGGAACTACCCCCTTAAAATAGACCTTCACCACCAGGTCGAAATACCCCACCCCGTCTTCGTCCGAGGTGGTCGGCGTGTACGCGCGCATCACCAGTTTGCCGCCCACCTTGGCACAAACAAACAAGTGCTTGCCGACCGGGAGCCCGAGGATGTGATTGGCCGAGGGGAGGGCGAAACGGAAGCGACGGACGTCCGGCGAGAGGGAGACCTTGGAGAGGAGAGGCACGGAGATTCGCTTCTTGGGGTCGAGTGTGGTGGGGTGGAGGGCAGTGGGTGAGGCAGGGAGAGGAGTGGGGGCGGGCGTTGCAGCAGGAACAGTCACAGCAGCAGCAGCAGAAGGCCCCTCCTCCTCGCCCTCTCCCGCCACATCCCCTATATAGTACTCCTCGAGCATCTTCTTAGCCTTTTCCGAGTGAATCGCATCAAACTCCTCTGTGACATCCGTGCCCGCATTGATGGTGATGCTCTCGCTGCCGCCCGGGTGGTCCTTGAGAAACTTGGTGCAATCATACACCCTCCCATGCACCACGATCCACGGTGACGATTCGTCCGCGTGCCGCTCGATCTCAGCCATTGAGATCTTCCGAACAGCCGCACCGGACCTCTCTCCCGAACCTGCCACCGCTGCCGAAGCTGCAGGAGCAGGAGCAGGGCCTGGCTTGGTTTGAGAAGCCCCAGCAGCAGCAGCAGCAGCAGCAGGAAGATCTGCTGCCTTGAGAACAGCAGCAGTTGACCCTCCTGCTCCTGCTGCTCCTGCTGCTGCCATATTTCCCCCCGGCTTGCCGTCCCCTGGAGCGTCATACATCCAGCCGCCAGGGAGGTTGCCGGGGCGGGTGGGGTGGATGAACTGCAGGCCGATGGAGCCTTCTGGCGTCACCGTGGGGGCCACTCGCACTCGGAACCAGCAGTTGTTCATCATGCCCTGGTGGGGGGGGGGGGGGGGCGGGGGTGTGGAGGGGGGGATGGAAGAGGGAGGAGAAGAGGGAAGATGAGAGGGCAGGGTGCGGTTGTCGTGATTTTCTAATCGACTCAATATCAGCCCGCACTCACGATGGCATGCCACGTCAGCAGCCCTCACTCATGATGACATGACACATCAGCAGCCCCCACTCATGATGGCATGCCACGTCAGCAGCACTCACTCATGATGCCATGCCACGTCAGCAGCCCTCACTTATGATGCCATGCCACGTCAGCAGGCCTCACTCATGATGCCATACCACGTCAGCAGGCCTCACTCATGATGCCATGCCACGTCAGCAGGCCTCACTCACGATGGCATGCCTCGTCAGCAGCCCTCACTCATGATGGCATGCCACGCCAGCATACCTCACTCACGATGGCATGCCACGTCAGCAGCCCTCTCTCATCATGCCATGCCACGTCAGCAGCCCTCTCTCATCATGCCATGCCACGTCAGCAGCCCTCTCTCATCATGCCATGCCACGTCAGCATCCCCCACTCACCATGACGTTCCAGGTCAGCTTATCGGGCTGCGTGTTGGTGGCATCATCCCACGCCCGAACTGCAACCTCGCTCGCCCCCACCAGGTCGATCACGGGGACTTCGGTTGCCCACAGGCTCCACGTCCAGTGCTTGCCGTGGCTGGTGGGGGGGAGGGATGGGAGGGAGGGGATGGGGGGAGGGGATGGGAGGCACAGATGAGGGAGAAGAGAGTGTGAAGTCGTGGCATAGTGAGGGGACGAGAGAGAGAGGCAAGACACGAGAGAGAAAGGTGGGGAAAGAGGCAGGGCTGGGAAGTGGGGGGCGGTGGTGAAAGGGAGTACTCACCGAGTGGGAGGGCTGGGGTGGGTGATGTCACACAGCCGCCACGTGCTCCCTCCATCCAATGTGATCTCGACACGTGTCACCCTCCTGCCGCCACCCGAGTACGCGTACCCCTTCATCGTCACTACCTGCCGGCCCGCGCCGCCCTCCAAAGCCACCACGTCACCATGATCCGGACTAACTATCGCCGAATTAATCGCCAGCTCGTTGCAAATATACTCCTTTTTGCGCCACCACCCATCCTTCATAGCAGTCTCAGCGTCCACATGTGAAGGCAGCACGCGGTTGTCGTGAAAATGGTAGTAGTTTTGAGATTCTTCCCGGGTAACTTCCACTTTTTTCAGCCACTTGACCATCCGCCCGCCGATAAATCCAGGGATAATTACCCTGACCGGAAACCCGTGGTCCGGGGAAAGCTCCTGCCCGTTTTGCTCGTACGCCAGGAGAACTTCGTTTGCAGGGTCCATTACTCTCCATAATTCCATGCTAGTTCCGTAAGTACTCCCTCCTCCTCCCGGCAACGTTTCCGCCCCTTCGAAGCACACGAATTTCCCCGCGTTCTTCCCTTTTAGCTGAACGCCGCACTTTATAAGCACATCTCTTAGCAAAACACCCTTCCACACCGTCGTTGCTGCCGCTCCCGCTCCCCAGCTGAACCCAATCGTCTGCTTGACCGCGTTTTGCTCTTTCCGCCTGTTCCCCACGCACACCAGCAGCACGGGAAGCTTCCTGGAAGGCATCGCGAGCAGATCCGCCATTGACAGGCTGGCAGGCTTGCTGACTAGACCGGAGATGTCGATTCGCCACGTGGAACAATCCAGGCGCGGCACGTAGCCGTGGTTCCGAACGTAGTGGAGAGGCACGGGAGTGATGAACCCCGAGGCTGGATCCGAGCGGGAGCCGGGAGCCGCCGAACCTGCCGCCAAGCCTGAATCAGAAGCAGAGCCCGAGCCTAACCCGGAGGTCAGGAGGCGGGAAAGCGGCGGCTCGCAGTTGAAGGGGTGCTTTCCGGTTAGGCGCACGAGGGAGGGATGGCGGGGGATCCACCTGGGGGGAAAGGGAGGGGGAGGGGGAGGGTTGGGGGAAGGGGGAAGGGGGGTGGGGGAGGGGGGGAAGAAGAGGGGAAAAGCGGGGGAGAGGGGGGATGTGGGAGAGAATGGGGAGGGGGAAGGGACGGAGGGAAAAGCGGGATGAGAACGACGGGGAAGCGAGAGCGAGGATGGGACGGGCGAACAAGGTAGATGGCACGAGGCAGATGCGATGAATTAGGTGAGAGGGGAAGGGGAAGTGAAGAGGTTTCGTGTGGGAAGGGGGGAGTACCGATAGGCAGGAAGGGTGGATGACTGGGAGGAAGGGGGGGAAGACGGAGGGAAATGCGGAATCTACTACATACTAACGGGGAACGTGGGGCGAGAAAAGAGACTCCTCGAATCACGGGTCTCGGGGGTCTCAACGAGAATGCAACGTCAATCCTCAACGAAATTCTGACCGAATCCTCAAGCTCCGGCCGACGTACTTGTCAGGCGTGTTCGCGTCGCGGGCGTCGATCGAATCGGGTTCATCCGCCACTACCGGATACTCGTACTGCTCCTCTTCTTCCTCCTCGTAATCCTCATCATCCTCCATTGTCTCCGCATCATTCTCCTTTCCATTCTCCGCTTTCTCCGTTTCACTCTCCTTCTCCTCATCCACCTTCTCCGATTTGTTATTCTTCCCCTCCACCGGAACGATGCTGTCTGCTCCGACGTTCACAATCGTCTTCTTCAGCTCGTTAAACGCATTCTCCACGTTTGCGACAGCGTTGGCGATGGTAACCCCATTCGCGACAGGTCCGTCACTTTCGTAACTTTTCGCCAGCACGCCTTTCGCCGAAACGCCGTTTGGGACGGTGCTGGCGACGAAAGCCGCAGCGGAGACGGCAGAAGATTCCTGATGGGCCACCATTGTGACGACCAGCAACGGCAGCAGCAATTAGAGCCGCGAAACCGAAATGAAACCCGAGCGAAACTCAAATGAAACAAGAGCGAATATCTAGAAGTCGTTTCAAACGAGCAAACTATGAACGAAGAGTTGTTTTTCCTGAAATAACATCCCTAGCACTATGCGGCACGGCGACCTGCGCGGAATTCCGCGGGACGGAGAAGGAAGCTAAGCTGCAAGAGGATTTCGCGCAGCTGAGCTACTACGACATAATCGAATCCACTCTTATGCAGCTGCAGCTCGCAAGGAGTTTCTCGCTGCGAGGTGATTTCTGAGTCGACTCTCGAAAGGAGTCGCTCTCCGTGACGAGTCAGGAGTCACGACACGACGAGAGGTGAGGTGAGGTGACGCGATAGACGCGGAAACCGGCACGGATTCAGAGGAGAACCGATCACCGACCAGCTGACTCGGAAGCTTTGCTCTGATTGGTCGGCTGGCAGCAGTGGATTGGAGCCGAGAGGGCGTGGGGCAGCGACGGACGGCTGGCTGAAGACGAGGTGACGTTTTAGAGCGTGGATACACATTTACACGAACAAGCTGGCGGTACGGCTTACGACTGATTCTAGCCGCAAAGCATGGTTGGCTGTCCCTGGCGGCTCCTAAATTTGATGGCTTTTCGCGGCTCCTACGCTTTGACGACCTTTCGAGCATGCATTGTGTACGGTTAGGGTTGCGCGAGGGGTTTCCCATTTCGCCGATTCCTGACTTACCTCGCTTTCGCGAAAACCCATGGAACTCTCTTGGAAATGGAAGGGTTGTTTGGATGCCGATCGTGGCCGTTTGCAGGAATCGCGAGTCCATAGAAATCGGATGCACGTGCACTAGGAGAATCACATCCATGGAATAGAGAACCCGATACCGAATATCCTGCCAACTGGAGCCACCAGTTTCCTATGCTTGGCTCTTTTGGATCCTCAAAAGCGGTTTCGTACACGTAGAAGTGATGAAGCATGAGTGGATTGGATTAGGAGCATTGTAGGAGGAAGAACAAATCCGTGGTGTGAGAAGAGCAACTGTACTTTATGTATTCTAAAACCAACACGATAGGTAGAAAGGTGAGGGGACAGAGGTTGCCGCTTTCACTGATTCGCTAACTCGCTGCGGCCATGGCTTTTTGGGCTGAGTTCCAGCCTCCAGGAGGTCCCAAGGAGATGCGAAAAGACATGGTGGAAAGGAGAGACATATGTTTTGAGGTTACCCTAGTATCGCGAAGCCCTACTTGTCTGGAGGAAGGGTAGATCCGCTGTTGAGAGTTAAGTGACAGCTAAGTGACAAGCATAAAATTCCAGAATTCACAGTGTGAAAGATAAATTCAACCGCTTACAACTGACGTATCAAGTTAGTGTTAACCACTACAAGACGGAAGAGTTTGCGCGTAATCCTTCTGCCCGCATTATCACAACTCCTGGACGTTAACATTTTTGGAAGGACAGGAGGACACTAAACAGCCAATCCGACTAACAGGAAGCTGTTTGCACACTGTTTACTGATTGGGCGCAAGAGAAGCGGGTCATGGAATCAATCAAGAACCACCAATGAAAGGCGTCCCGGGTGATGTCAAAACAGAGACCATAGAATGAGGTAGCTTTGGTGAAATCGTTTGCTGCCTATGAGAAACTTTTCATATCAAATGGTGTACCATTCCGTAAATTCACATTTCTACGTATTTACAACACTCCTCATCCTCAGCCTTCTTCCTCCATAACCTCTTCACTGCCTTCCTCCCCATCGGAATTATCACTTTCATCCTCAGAAGAATTACTCTCATCATCTTCGGACTCTTCATCTGCAACCAAGCACGACACCCTAATGGAGGGAAATTCTAATATCGTGCGCCCTGCAAGTTGTGTCCGAAGGGTTTGCCGGATGTCAAGATCAAACAGCTGTCAGAATTCATGCAAGAAGCGTGTAAGGGAGAGAGGGGGTTGGGAGAGACGAGGGGCCGTGGGGGAAGAGAGGGGGTTTGCCGGATATCAAGCTCACACAGCTGCCAGATTTCATGCAAAAGCAAGCGGGTGCCTGCCTGTGGCATGAAGCATGATAACGAAGGGGAAAGATAGAAAAACACAAAAACCATGCCTGGGAAGGAGGCACTACTTTGCTGCGATCTCAGCCGCCACAAGATCTTTCCTAAATAGTCATGGGACACATCACAAAAAGTAACACATGAGAAGATACCCATGGAAAAGCAGAACCATACCTGTGAAGGAGGCGTTTCTAGCTGCAGTCTCAATCGCTGCAAGACCTCTCCCAAAGAGGCTGCTGGATGCGAAGACGAAGGAGAAGTTGCGAGTTGCGATGCAGGTACCACCAATTCTGCCGTTTCTGTTGCTGTTGTTGCTCCTGCTGGTGGTTGTGGTGGTGGTGGTGGTGCTGCTGCTGCTGCTGATGCCGTTGCTGTTCCACCTGCTGCTGCTGGAGGTGCAGTTGAAGCTGGTTGTGCTGCTGCAATTTGGCCTTTCAGTGCCTGTCTTATGGCTGCTTCAGCTGCTGCTATAAGAGGATCATTCTCTGATATTCTGAGAGCATGGGAATAGAAATAGCAAGGCAAGAAAGAGGGAGATGAACAAGAGATGAAGTCTTGATGCACGGCTGCGACTGAGGTTACTAGTGCCTGGCTTATGGCTGCTTCAGCTGCTGCTATACGCGGCTCATCCTTAGAGATTCTAATAGCAAGGGAAGGGAGATATCAAGAATGAAAAGGGAGAGAAACAAGAGGGTGCGGTCTGCTGCAATAGGGGCTTTCAGTGCTTTTCTAATGGCCGCTTCAGCTGCTGCTATAAGCAGCTCATCCCCTGAAACTCAAAACAAGAGTACGGAATGGGGATATGAAGGCAAGAAAGGGAGAGAAACAAGAGGGTTAAGTTATTAGGGTTAAGTTATTAGGGCTTTCAGTGCCTGCCTTATGGCTGCTTCAGCTGCTGCTATAAGCGGCTCATCCTTTGGAAACTCTAAGAACACGGGAATGGGGATGTTACAAAGAATAAAAGAGACGAAGAAGAGGCTGAAGTAGATATGTGAACAGGCAGTGCCTCAAAGAAACATGCAAAAACTCCAGGTGAAGCAGAACTTTTGTGAAAGGCAGGAGAAAATTACCTGAGTTCCACAAAAGTTGTGGAACTCAAAATACAAGAAAATGAGACGAGGCACCCAAAAGCAGAGACACTGGATTCGAACTGACCAGTGAGAAGATGTGACTTTGCTTTGCGATTTTCCGTCTGACTGACTTACATTGAGTCTATCGTGTGTGGCAGAAGGAACGTTGAAAGCGAGGCTGCTGTGCTCCCATTGGCAAGCACGTGGTTGTCGTTGTTGTTTTCATCCATGCGGATGGATCGGATTGCAAACTGCCATCGCACATGCCACATGATGCACCGCTTCCTGCAATGAGGGCATGAATGAACATGGACATGTTCACATCACACAGAAACACAAGTTATTGGCATGCATGTGGCTGTTGTTGTTCTCATCCATGCGGACGGACCGGATTGCAAACTGCCATCGCACATGCCACATGATGCACCGCTTCCTGCAGTGCAGTGCGCATACAAATTCACAGATACACACATATACACATTAGCATTCATGCTTATGGACCTGAATGCAAACTGCCATCGTACATGCCACATGATGCATCGCTTCCCGTGGTGAGCACATGCACAAACATGCACATGTCCACACAGAAGCACGGGTTAATAGCATGCATGTGGCTGTTGTTGCTGGCACCAGCATAAGGTTGCCAGGCCAAATGAGAAGGCAACACAGCAAGAGAGGGAGAGGAGGAGAGCGGGCAAGCGAGGGGGAAGCTGGGTATGTTTGTGAATAAAAAAAGGTTCTGGGGTTTCACAGGCTCTGGACCGCACCGCGCCTGTGCCGAAACCAGGTTCAGTCGGCCTTGTGCTCTGACCAGCATCACCAGCATCACCAGCATCAGCAGAAGCAAGACAGGGGGTGCCTGTTGTGGTTGCAACACATACCTGTGCTGAAGTTCGTTCGGTTCGCCTTGCGTTTGAACATGCCTGGTGGCATCAGCAGCAGCTCAATGCCAAGGCATTATATGGATGATTTGGGGTGTGTGGAGTGACTGTGGGTGTGCGGGGGTACCTGTGTTGAAAGTACGTTCGGTTGGACTTGCGCTTGGACATGCCAGGAGGCATCAGCAGCAGCTGCACGCCTCTCTGCCTGGCTGTCTGCTGCATTCGCCCCCAGTGCTTTCCCACCTGGTATACAGAAGAAGAGAAACGAGGATGGCACACGGTTGAAGGGGTAAGAGAGCGGTTGAATGGAGTGGAAAACGGTTGAAGGTGCAATGGTTGCAGCTGCACGTCCCTTTGCCTCGCTGTCTGCTGCATTCGCCCCCAGTGCATTCCCACCTGGTATACAGCTGAAAAATATAAGAGGGTGGTTGAGTGGAGTGGAGGGAGGTTGGAGAAATGGTAGCAGCTGAATGCCCCTCTGCCTGGCTGACCGCCCCATACTTACTTGAGAGAGTTTTTTGCTACCCATACTTACTTCAGAGACGTTTTTTCAGCTTACTTTGAATGGCACTCCTGATTGAGTGAGAAGGAACCTTCTGCCCTGTTTCCTACCTGTGCCTCGTAGCGGACCCCTAGAGCCGTGCGCGTGCGCTTCGCCACGTCATACTGCAGCAACGCGTCTTCCAGGAAACGCAGGTCTGGTGGTGGTTGCAAGGAAAGGGATGTGGAGAGGGGGGAGGGGAGGGGGTGTGGGGGTTGGGTAAGGTGGGGTCTTGAGGAGGGGTCTTTGCCACGTCATATTGCAACAACGCATCTTCCAGGAAACGCAGGACTGGCGATGGTTGGAGAGGAGGAGGGGGGTTCAGGTGGAGGGGGGGTGGGGGTGAGGAGGGCAGGGGGAAGGGGGAGGAAGGGTGGGCAAGGAGGGACCTTGGAATAGGGCCTTAGCCACGTCATACTGCAGCAGCACATCTTTCATGAAACGCA